TGGGAGTGTCCTTAAATCCAGGAGTGTTGGGAGGGAATAATTCACCAGATTCAGGAGAGAATTGGGATTAAAATTCCAAAAGGCCCAAGGGTCTGTTTACTTCATGGAACTGAGCTTACAGTGGAAAAATATAAAAACTCTGGGTTATTTTATAAATGCAGCAAAAGGTCTGATACCCAAATTCTGGAAGGAACAAGTGGCACAAAAAAAATAAAGGATTGGATAGGAAGGGTGGACTATATGTATAGAATGGAGGAACTTTATCATATAGATAAAGATAAAATGGAGAGATTCCGTAAAAGGTGGGAAAAATGGGAAGAGTTTAAGAGATCAAATAAATGTGCAGAAACAAGAGAAATATAGATGAGAGGACGTGTATAATTAAAGATGGAAAGTAAGAAAAAAAAAAAAAAAAGGTGGAAGAGGAAATCCCGAGGGCTTTCATGAGGGGTGAAGAACGTGGAGCTAGGGAAAACAGGGTTGGGGGAGGGAGTAGATAGTGGGTTGGGGAGGGGGTGGGTTTTGTATGAGGGAAGGTAAAATTGTATTTTGTATCTGTATTTTTATATTGATATGATACGAGAGGTTATTCTTATTGTACAAAATAGGTTGAAATTGGAAAATAAAATATTAAAAAAACAGCAACAATAGACCCCCCAACAGTAGATCCATCTCAGCAACAAATGACCCCCCCTAGAATAAGACCAACCTAGCAACAATAGATCCCCCACCAGCAGCAATAGAACCTCCCAGCAACAATAGACCCCCCATGCAAAAAGAGATCCCCTCCAGCACACCCCAGTACCCCTTCACCATACATACATTCAGTGCTGGAGGTGCCAGCACTGCGTTCCCCCATGTTCCCGCTGAAAAAAAGCCCTGACTGCCACAAAGGAGTTATTAACCTTGTGTAAGTTACAAGCGACCAGCTGCTTACACGGGACTTTCCTTTAACACCCTGTGGCTGAATGGAGCAGCGGATGAAAGAAAGAAAACAAAAAAGTATGTGTTTATGGAGATCTAAATTAAAGTGAACCTGTTGCTTTTTGCCATTTTGTGTTTACCCAGCCCTGCCTCCAAGCATGTTAAAAAACAGACCGGAAACAAATTTTAATTGTGCATCAATACTCGGTTTCATAAAAATGTTGTACCTTTGAATCAGTGTTTGTATTAATCAAAGAAAGAAAAAGGTTTTGAACAAGAACGTTTACTTCAACGTTTACATGTTAACAATAGGGTTTTTTTTTTTTTTTTTTTTTCTTTTTAACATTTTACATCCATACCACAAAAGGCAAACCTTCAGCATCATTCATACAGTTTATAAAATAACTTACATTTCTTAATTACAAAAATATTAATCTCACACAGCAACATATGGCAGGAAAAAAACAATACAACATTATACCCTAATAGCATGTATATAGTATGGACACCTCCACCTTACTGAGAAGACAGACTTGGTTCTCAGACACAGGTACCTCTTAGATTATCTTTAAACTGAAGCAAAAGCAAACAGAGTGGAGGATCTGTAATGATATCTGTGAGTGGAGAGTAAAGGCTACAATACGCTGAGACACCTTTCTTGCTCAGGCCACAAGAGAATCTTGGGGATGGAGGAATATACACTGCTGGCTGTTGTTCAGCGGCTGCCTGAATACAATGGCACTGCCAAACAGTCACTGCATTGAGATGCAGTCATTGTTCCTCCAGTAATTTTCCATACAACCTGCAAATGTTATGGCTACATAATTAAAAGTAAAACCTCAGACAAACAGTTAAATACACAGAAATACAAATCTGTGAACTGTGTTAGTTGCAAAAAGACTGACTATTCTGTTCATCTGGTCTTGTTCATGCATCATCAGTGTGTAAATCACAAAACTTGCAAAGCAGAATTGTAAATCTTTTGAAAATAAAATAGTATAATAGTAAAATAGTCCTTCACAGAGCTGTTGCAAAGAGGAGTACAATCTTACAGAAAGGCTGCACTGAAAACTTAGAAAACAGTAGATCTGGGTAAATGTCTTCTTTAAACCACTATGTTATGTTATAATTGGCAATACTTTAATACCAAAGTCATAAATTAGAACAATCAATCTACTAGAACCAGCTCACACAAGCAAAAGCAGTTGGAAAAGCTAACCCAAGAAGCAATGCCTCATACCATAATCATTTTTATTCTAGAGGCCAAAGGTTTTTACCTTCAATGCAGTCTATGCATGAAGGTAAAAAACCTTCAGTGTGCAGCTCCACTTATTATTTACCTGAGCCTAATCTTGATCCAGCGCTGTGCACGAGAGGCTCGTTTCTCCCTCTCCTCATTGGCACTATTGCCTCCTGCTGCTGTCAATCACAGCCAGTGAGGATGGAGCTGGGAGCAGGGCTGAGCCATGCTGTGTCTTATGGACATACAGAGCCAACTTAGGAGCGAACACACGAGTGCCCTCAGAAAAAGCAGCTTGTTCTGGGGCACTCGGCAGTGGGGCTGGGGGGAACCCAAGCAGAGGAGGATCGGGGCTGCTCGGTGCTAAACCATTGGACACAGCAGGTATGACATGTTTGTCATTTTAATAAAAAAGAAACAAAAACCCCAAAGCTTTAAAACCACTTTACTTTGAATTTATTTTCTCCTGGATAACATAGTGACCTGCCTTTCAAGTAAACATAATTAGACTGCATCTAGATCACCCTAGAAAAGGGTGTGGATCAAGCTCAGTGTGACAATGTACAGTGTGCCAGCTCTGCTGGTCTTAGCCAAATATAGATAAACAAGTAGAGCTTCAAATGTTACATTCAGACACTTGGAGCTTAAACAGGGGAACAGGCAGATCAGTGGAAGGGGAAGGCATCTTTATGAGTTATGATCTCTCTGCCTCCCCCTACAGGCAACAAATTAAACCAACCTTTCACCCAGCAATGTATGAGCTGTATATGGAAGTGTAATATAAATATATATATATATATTTTTTTTATTAGAGCACAGCACCATTCACCTAGATGGGTCATGTTCAGTGGGGGTATAATTGATGTTGCGGCCACAACATGTGTATGACCCTGGCCGCTTGTGTGCCTTGAGATTGAAAATAATTGTGAAGGGAGTCTTGACTGAAAAAAAATAAAAAGAGGTTGAAAAACACGGATCTACATAACCAGTTAGAAAGCATAACCTAATAATCTAAAATTGGTTTTCCCAGTGAGGTGAGGTAAGTACATACTACTGCTTTTTCAAATTCTAATCTGCTCCTCTACATATACATATATAGCCAACGTGGACCATCCTCTCCATGTTTTCTGCAAAATATTGCAAACTGGAAACAGTTTATGAGATTGAGTAACTAAAGGGGAACAGGCTGCTTATCTTGCAAGGAAATGTTCCCTTTGCTTATTCACTTTAATATCCAGCAATGTACAAAGAAAAAAAGAACAAAATTGTATTTTTACTTGCACATGATGGAAGTTAGCAGAGGTTCATCCCATTGACTAAGCAAAGACTAAAATCCCCTTGGAAAGTGAACGGCATTTTTGAAAGTGAAAGTTAGAAATGATGAAAAGCCTTTTTATTGTTAAAAAATAAATAAATGGCTCAAAATTAAGCAGCCATGTAGAAACATTTAGTTATCGGACACATTTCTACTGTATTTGGCTCTTCTTTTGAATCTACTTTTGATGACTATTTGGCTTTAGTGAATGATCCATCTGAGGCACATGAAAGTGTTAAATGAAAGCTTGCCTAGACGTAATTATATAGATAATGATTGGAGAACCTCCTTTCTCATTTGCTATAGCAGCAAAGTATTGATACAAATTAGGCATAACAAGCAGCACTGGATGTCTAACTTTGAAAAAAAGCTTAGACATTTTCCTATGAGACTCTTCCAGTGTGTATTACCTTCTGCAAAAGGTATTGTCAAAGATTCTAAAAATTATATGACTAAGGAGGCGGGAATTCCTAAAAGTGTCTGAGAAAAACTTTGTTTCAAGTGAAGTGCACCTCATCAGCTTTTACATTTCCATTTCCTAAGTTTTATAGAAAAAAAAAACATTAGAAGCTGATTGATTGTTATGGGCAACAGCATCAAATGAAAGAACGTCTCTCAGACAGTTTTTATTATTCCCCCCAAATTGTTATAAACTTCAAATAATTCTGCATAAGGTATATACATCAGTCTCAAAACATACAATTTAAACAATTACAGACAATATTCTTATACATGAGCCAAGATGTTCAATGAAACCTGTATGAAGGGACGTGAGGAAGCGGTCATTGCTCACCTCCTTTTGAAACTGCTAGTTGACTGGGTATCTCCATGAGGATTGGGAAAGTCAGAATGAACTCAGAACTCCTCCTGAGTTCCATGTCAATTACTTAGAAAGTACTGAAGCCCTTAGATCAGTATTGCAGCTAGGGAAATCCATGTTTTTAAAAGGGTAAGTCAGCAATGGCATTCTTCATGCTTCCTTGATACAAGATCCACCCTGAAGATCCCCAGTAATTCCTCTTCTCACTTTCTATGGCATTTCTGGCAGTGTGTCTGAGCGTTTCCTATTAACTTACTCAGAAATGAGAATTAACTTTCAAATAAGAGACTTAAACTTCTCATTTCTGACAGGCAGAAACATCAAATGCAGAAAGTAGAGGGGACATTCTGGAGACCCTAACTGTGGGACACTTGAGGTCTACATACATCCTACACTTAAGGATTTTTAATCGCCATCCTCCCAAACTGAAATTGTTTTTTTTTTTCTTTTACGTACTAAAGAGCCATTAAAGTATGTATAACATATGAACATAAAAAAAATTGTGTATATAGCCAAATATACCACAATTTATATATTCACATGCAATCATACACCAGGCTTTTCAATACTTGTAAATGCAGAGTATTAATTTAAACAAACAATCCCTGTCAATTTAAATAATTACACCCATGGTAAATAATTAAAAGGAGGGTATGGAAGTTTGTTCCAGTCCATGTGCAGACTTCTCAAGGGGGAAAGACTTAGGCCGTTACATCCCTTAAAGATGCTCTCTTATACTGATGATACCCACTTGTCCAACCATGTACAACCTACAAAAAAAAAAAAAAAAATGGTTAGAGAAAAGTACAATACATGCATCCTCTATTTCTCCAAACCACCATACCATAAAAAACTGTGACAGACTGGGTAATGATGCTTTATTGCCTTCTGCAGGGATATGTCACAAGTTGTAGGGACAACAGTCAACTAATCAGCACAAAAGCCTGGCCATGTAGAATTCTGTACTGACTTAAAGGCTCTTTGAGCCTTAAAACTATTTACCATTTCAAGTAAAAACTTGAATATTGCTCTTCTTGACAGGCTAGCATGTCAATATTGTACAGAGCAGCTTTATACTTCCTGAATTTTCATACTAGCATCAATATATCCGACATCATCTGTTTCTGGGTGGAGGAATATCAGAAAGTCTGAATTTTAGTCAACAGCTGACTATCATATGACCACTTTTATTAATGATTTTGTTTTTTCTGAACAGTACTAATTCAATAAAAAAAATGCAAAAAAAATTTTATGCAGTTAATTTTCTTGTCATGAAATTTCAGTACTTGTTTAGTTCTGCACTGGGTGGAAAATTTCATACAAAGTGCCATGTTTTTGGCCTAATCTGGAGGATATGGTAGAAAAAAAAAAAATTAAAAGTGATTCTAAAAGAACAATATATTTTATTATGTAATCATCAACCCTTACAACTTTTATACTTTCCCTTCATTCAATTAAGTAATAATGCAAAACCACTTAAAGCATTACTAAATCCAGGACCCTGCATTCACTATATCTGGTCTCCCACAGTACAAAGAACATGGAAGTGCAATTATTCTGGTAAATATAAACTGCTAAATACCTTTTCTCATCAGCAGTTAGAGCAGTCTTGTGACTTCTATCAGTTTCCAGCAGAGCACTGGTTAAAGCTTGTAAGAGGAGTTTCCTTTCTGCTCTAGGAGAATAAAGAATTCCTGACCTCTGCAGCAGTGGGAACATGTTCTACCCGTTTTTAAGGTGAAGTTATCTTTTAAAGTAGAACTTTAGTCAGAAAATTAAGTACTGCTAGATCACTTCAGGCTGGTCCCTTTTGCAGGTATAACATGTTAAACATTAAAATGAAGTGCCTATACTGGTTAAAATCCAGTAATGCACGGTCTCACCCTGCTCTACACATGTTCAGTTCTAGGCACTGTGTCTGAATCAGAGCCACTAGAGGCCGATCAGCTGACAGGTTTAAGATTTACGGTTGCATAAGCTGAAAGAAAACAAAAATAACACAGGCGCAGAGGGAACACAGATTAAGAAGGGAGAAAGTAAAAGCATGAGAGGTGACAGGACAAACTCTGCTGCTAGAGAGACACAAAAAGAGTTAAATTTGCAAGGACGGTGTCTTATCTGATCTCCCTGATATTCTCTCCTATCTACCTCATCCATAGAACTGTGAACTTCCTCACTGCAAAGCTCCTGTCAACTTTCCCCTCTAAGGCAGCGTATACATTCATTAACCAGCAGATTGAAAAGACAAAAATCATCCAAATCTTCCTGCTGCAAGACTTCCCCACCATCAATATAGAAAGATGATAGCTGCCAGCTATACCTGGCAGCGCTGATTGATCAGGAAAAACTCCACAGGCCGTTTGTACAAAGGTAGATCGACTTGTGTACATCCAGGGTGCTCATACACGGATCAAAATTCATCCGGCCCCTGCTGATCCAGCTGAATTTTGATCCATGCATGGCTGGCTTAAAACTAAGCCAGGACATATAATCAAGGCTGGAAATTTACATAATTTAATCTCATTGGTCTCAAACAATAAGGAAGTGACTGCTCTGGGCTCCAACAAAATGGCAGCCTCCAGCAAGAAGAAAGAGAATCTATGCTGGAGTGCCAATTCACACATGTTCAGGACAGGATCCGCTCATGATTTTTTCCTGTTCACACATCAGGTTTAGAAACGGTTTCCATAGAAGTCAATAGCCTGTAAACCACACGGGAACCGGACCGCACTGCTTAGAAATCGTACAGGACTCTTTTTTTTTTTTTAGACCGCACTAAATCCGCATCAGCAGTGCACCAGACATATGTGAACAGGCACCATAGGAAAAAATGTTATTTCACATGCCATGCGGATTGGATGTGGTTCAAACTGCATCCAATCCGCATACATGTGAATGGGCATGGAGGCAATTTACAGCGCACACTAATTTTGGTAGCATAATTATTAATGTGGAATGTTTATTCTTTTGTTAAAGAATATAAATAGTTATCAAACTGTTATGTTCTACTTTTACTACTGAATCTATATTGTGTTGCTATTTAAGAGGCTTTAATGTTTTTCATATCGGTGTTGTCCTTCAGTATATCTGTAATACACTAAAGTGGCACCAAAAAGTAAATATAGGCAGCCAGAGGTTCCAGAAGATCTTCATTTCATACAGCTCCAAAAACTACACTGCTCAAAGAAATTAAAGGAACACTTTGAAAACACATCAGAACTCAAAGGGGAAAAATATCATGATGGATATCTATACTGATACAGACTGGGTAATGTGTTAGGAACGTAAGGATGCCCCTTCGTTTGATGGACTGAAAAAGATCAATTTTGTACAGAGGACTGAATTCAAAGACACCTCGAAAAGCAAAGTGAAAAAATGATGCAGCAGGCTAGTCCATTTTGCTGAAATTTCATTGCAGCAACTCAAAATGGTACTCAGTAGTTTGTATGGCCCCCATGTGCTTGTATGCATGCCTGACAGATCCTCCCAGATCTGGACCAGGGCATCACTGAGTTCCTGTACAGTCTGAGGTGCAACCTGGCGGCATCAGATGGACCAAAAACAGGACATCCCAGAGGTGTTCTATTGCATTTAGGTCAGGCAAGCATGGGGGCATTCAATGGCATCAATTCCTTCATCCTCCAGGAACTGCCTGCATACTCTCACCACATGAGGCAGGGTGTTGATGTGCAACAAGAGGAAGTGTGATGTGCAGTGCGGTGAGGAAAAATTAGGTAGGTCTGTATATTTCTGCACAATGGTGAATGCACCACACTGCTGTGCAGAGACATAAATGAAAAGTCACTATGTGACACTTCAAATAAAGTTGAAAAGAAAGAACATGCAGTGTAGTAATGTGCTGATCATCACCACTCCCTGCTGGAGCAGACAATACCAGTAGCCTGCATTTTAAAATGCTGGGTTCTATCATTCGGGTCAGTTCACTAAGCTGTACAACTACACACAATATATATCATGATAATTTTGTCATCAAAACTTCAGAAGTATAAATAATCTCTCCTCACATGAAGTAGTTGTTTAAAGACTGAAAGTCTTTATTTCTGAAAAATCAACTTTCTATCTCTTAGACACATCACAATCATCAACATCCAGAAGCTAGCGATATTTTTTCTCTGTAAATGGACTTTGGATACATAAACTAAAGAGGGAAAAAAAAAAAGATCAACAGTATCCAGGAAGTTCAACTGCTCCATGCAATAAAACATTAAAAAAGGGATTGTAAACCTCACCTTGTAAAACGAAAACACATTCAGTGTAAAACAGAAATGAAAGGCAAAACATTTGTGTGTAGATATAGAAAAATATATAAATACCCCCCCCCCCCCTTTTTTTTTTTTTAATAAGGGATTGTATTCCCTCTGTTCTCAGCTGCATACGAGCTGGGGGAGGACAGACAGCAGTACACTGATCCTCCCAGTGAATGACTGTGCCAGGGGGAGGGTTAGCAGAAGTCTGACCATTGGAGCAGAGCACACTGACTTTACTCAGGACAGCTAAAGAACTGACCACAGTGTGTTCTCATGCCTAGTGTGGTCAGTTTTTAATAGGAAAGCAGAGGGACTGGCAGGAACACCAGGGATTTCACACAAAGGAGCAATACAAAGAGAACAAGATACTTTTTCATACAAGTACATGGTACAGCAAACACATCAGGAATATAAAATGTTGAGTTTAGAGATTATTCACTTTGATAATAAAAGTTAAATAAACCATTGCACATATGGTACATTCATTTTTTTGCTGACTTATAATCTTATAGGCTCCTGTATTTCAGAATTAAAAGGGCAGCAACATTTTTTTGCACCACTACAAAGCAAGCGCAGGCAATGCTGCAAGCAAACACATACTGGGGGAGATTTACTAAAACCAGAGTGTGCAAAATCTGGTGCAGCTGTGCATGGTAGCCAATCAGCTTCTACCTTCAGCTTGTTCAATTAAGCATTGAGAAAAAAAAAACCTGGAAGAGGATTGGTTTCTATGCATAACTGCACGAGATTTTGCACCCCTAGTTTTAGTAAATCAACCCCATTGCATATGTGAATTAACTGTGACAGCTTTTTGACTATTGGATTCTGAAGTTACATGAAATGCTTTTACTGTGACAAGGGTCGGCAAAACAAACCTGTCGTGAATTAATTCAAGGGGCCGCCTTTGACAGTCTTCTGAAAATGTTAGTCACCTGGCTGTATCTATGCAGATCAAGAAAGTTGGAGTGAACTCAGAATTCTTAATCAGGAATTAAAGAAAATAAGTAAAAAAAACAAAAAACAAAAAACATTGGATTACCATGACAGCCTGGAAGTAGTATGGAGAGATCAGCAATGGAATTCATCACTATAGTTCTTCAGCCAATGTGCATTTTATTCTACATGTGAAAAACAGAAACTGGTCTGACAGCAAAATGGTGTATTTTTGGTCACAACTCTGATATCCCTGATGAGGGGCCAAGAAAACTCTTCTGAACCAAAATTTCAGAGTTGGTTGGCACCCCTGTCCGATTTCATTTGATATATCTGCCCTAGGTAGAAATGCATAAAATAGTAGCCATTTCGTTCTCATCATGTAAAACATGATTTTGCAAAAGATTTTATCAGTTGACTTGGATTACTTCCCTTTGCCCAAAATTGCTTTTTGTTGTGACTTATTAAGTAAGTTTGTCTCACAACCAAGCTCAGCAATGTTATCAGTCATTTCTGAACACATGCACCTAGATATTAAGGGAAATATAGGACTACTTGTGGAAACTGTACAGTATATCACACTTTCCACTGTGAGATCAAAGAATACTATAATTATTTTGCGGTAATGAAATATAAACAACATGATGTCTGAATCACAAAGGATTTGCTTCCATAAAATAGCACTTCTTTTACAGAGATTAGAAGGGTACTGTATCTACTTTATTCCTTCACTGAGTAGCTTACAACGGTCTTGACTGTGGCCTTCCTGCAAACAAATTCACATTTACATGTTCTGATTGCTGTAAAGCTGAGTATTTACATATAGAGTGGGTATAGAAAAGAATAACCCCCCTTAACCGCCTCTCACCCGTCATATAAGGAAATGAAGGGAGGGCAGCGGTTCTCTCGATATAGGAGGACGTCATATGATGTCCTCCCACTCCAGCTGCGCATGTGCGCCCCCGGGGGCGCACAGCGATCAGTAGTACGCTATGTCCCTGGGACACAGCAGATCACCGATAACAGTAAAGAGCCGATGACGTAGGCTCTATCATGTGATCAGCTGTGTCTGATCACATGTAAATAGGAAATGCCGGTTATCGGCCGTCCTCTCCACATGCTGGCAGCACGTGAGATGAGAGACAGTGAGCGGAATTCTTTAGAGGGGAGTGTAGCCCCTTCAGTGCCACCTGTCAGTGCCCATCAATGCCACATATCAGTGCCCATTAGAGCTGCCTTTCAGTGCCAGTCAGTGCTGCCTATCAGTGCAATATATGAGTGCTGCCTTTTAGTGCCCATCAGCGATGTCTGTCAATGCCCACTAGTGTCTCATTAGAGTCACCTATCAGTGCCCATCACTGCAGCCTCATTAGCGCACATCAGTGAAATAGAAAAATTACTTATTTACAAAATTTAATAACAGAAACTGAGAAAAACGTTTTTTTTAATCAACATTTTCAGTCTTTTGTTTTAGTTTGTTTAGCAAAAAAAACAAAAAACAGTGGTGTTTAAATACCACCAAAAGAAAGCTCTATCTCAAAAAAATGATAAAAATTTTGTTTGGGTACAGTGTTGCATGACCGCGCAATTGTCATTCAAAGTGCGACAGCACTGAAAGCTGAAAATTGGCCTGGGCAGGAAAGGGGTAAAAGTGCCCGGTAGGCAAGTGGTTCACATTTTGCTACTTTGCAGCCTAAAATGAAGACAGACACTGTTTCTGTTTTATCCAGCTGTATTTACACAGTGCAACTTATAAAATCCAAGAGAAAGATATAAACACCAACATGTCAGGGAAAAAAAAAAAATCAAAAACAGAATCACTGAGTTGGAAAAAGGATCACCCCCTCCTAAAAATGACTTGTAAACTCAATCAGGTGTAGCTAATCACCTTCTCAATAGCACAAAAAGCCATATGACTTTCAACTGTGATCAGCTGTGGTCATTTTGATTAGCTGAGCATGAAAAAAAAGAGCTTTCCAGGAGCATTTCAGTTCCTGGTCCCAAGACACTGTGAAATGATCTCTGGGATAAAGCTATGAACAGGCACAAGTCAGGAGATGGGTACAAAAAAAATTTCAAAGGCTTTACCAATGCGTAGAAGGACAGTGAAGTCTATTACCAAGACCTGGAAGGTATATGGTAAAACACAGATTCTCTTCCTGGATCAGGATGTCACTCCAAACTGTATGAAAGAGCCAGGAGTAAACTGGTCAGAGAAGCTACCAAGAGGCCTACAGCAACTCTGAAGCAGTTGTAGGAATTTATGACAAAGAGTGGTCATTGTGTGCATGTGACTACAATATCACAAATTCTCCACAAATGTGGCTTATATGGGAGGGTTGCAAGAAAAAAAATCCACTCCTCAGGAAGGGCCACATGTAGTCACAACTGAGCTTTGCCAAATGCACCTTGAAGATTCTGGTCACATGGAAATAGGTGTTATGGTCAGTTGAGACAAAAATTATTTGGGCTCAGCACTAAACAATATTGTAGCAATCGTGCGCACAAATATGGATGCGGATGTCCATGTTGCTAAAGATCCTCCATCTTGTGTCATTCTCACTCCAAATCAGTCCCCCCCTCCCTTCTTGTTGAATGGCATGTGGTCTGGTGTAGCTGAGTTCAGGAGAGCATCGGGCACAGCTGGATACACTTCATGGTTGTAAACCCAATTAGCTGATTCCAGTGTGTCTGGCAGACTCTTGCTCTGAGCTGGTCATAAAGCTATAAACCCATCAGTCACTAGACTTGAAAGCAATCCGGAATAGCAGTAAAACCTTACATCCCATTTGAAACCACTTTTTCATACACTTTCATAATTTCCCGCAGGAAATACATACAATAAAACAAAACATATATTCAGACAGGTCAGTTTAATACGAGTCACCTGATACCTTAGATTACGTCTACCCGAGAGCAGAAAGCAATATCTCCTTAACTGTCCCAAGCAGATATGTTATATCTGGTGTCTGGACGTTCAGAATATCATTCTGCTTATTATCCTACCAGTGGATAGGATGCTACATGTACCTATGAAAGGTTATTGACCATGGTGTGGACTTGTGAGGGATTTGGGTCACAGCCGGAGTCTCTGCCTAAACCCCCCTCCCCAAATGAGGCGATTGGCCCTTTGCTTCAGTAGACACCCCCTGCTGGTGGACTAGAAAAGAGGCTGTCAGGCCTGAGAGAGAAAAAGATGAAGACACTCTCCCTTTTAACACCAGGAACCAACTTTGGGAGAAAAGGCACCCTTTTGTTCGGACACTTGAACGCTGCTTAAACTAGGACTTCTGGCAACTACTCTACCTCTCTAAACTTCTGTTATCTCTCTGTTGTGTTACTGCTCTCTGTATGTGTGTGTATATATATATATATATATATATATATATATATATATATATATATATATATATATATATATACTACATTTTTTTCTTGCACCATTTTGACCTTTTTAGTAATAAATCCTATTTTCTGAATTGTTGAACTGTTTCTAAAGCTCTTTAATGCAAACTAAGAATCCCTGTCTCTGAAGAGCGCTACTGTGGGTTTTAAACTTCTGCATACATATGCCTGCGGTGACAGTGTGTATACAGAGGCTTATTCAAACATCATAGTGTTACTGCTAAGATTGGCGAGTTTCCTCCTTCTCCGTACAAAAAGGCTGTGGTGGCAGTATAAAGGGTTATTTGCGTAACTAACCTGACCCAGTAACAATCGCTCTCAGGCTGTGGCACACAGATTGTGGTCCAGTGAGCTGGAAAATCTTTGTGCAGGGTGCAGCTGAGCGTGGCATTGTTACACACGTGACAGCGCGGTTTTAGATTAGCTAGTCCTTCGGTCACAAGTTGGTGAGAAGGGCTGGGGGTCTGACGCCGCACCCGTCACAGATATGCTTGCAATAATCCAATACAGCTCAACATCAAAACAACACCATTCCCACAGTAAAGCATGGTGGTAATATCTTGTTGCGGTGGGGTTTCTCTGCAGCAGGGACTGGAGCACTTGTCATGATAGAAGGAAAAAAATGCAATGGGGCAAAATTCCATCAAATTCTTGAGGAAAATCTGCTGCCTTCTGCCAGAAAGCTGTCAATGGGAAGAAGATTTACCTTCCAACATGACAATGACCCAAAGCACACAGCAAAAACAACCACACAGTGGTTGTAGGAGAAAAGGGTGAATGTCCTTGCATGGCTTAGTTGGAGCCCAGGCATAAGTCACATTGAAAATCTGTGGAATGACTTGAAGACTGCAGTCCGCAAATGGTCACCATCAAATTTAACTGAACCTGAGCAGTTCTGCAAAGAACAGTAGGCAAATATTGTAAAGTCTAGATGTGCAAAGTTGGTAGAGACATATCCCAACAGATCAAAGGCTGTAATTAAAGCAAAAGGTGGTTCAACAAAATACTGACACAAGGGGTGATCCTTTTTCCAACTCAGTGATTCTGTTTTTTAATTTTTTTTTTTCTGACATGTTGGTGTTATATGTTGCACTGAGTAAATACAGCTGGATAAAACAAAAACTGTGTGTCTTAATTTCAGGCTGCAAAGCAACAAAACTTATTTTAAAGGAGGGTGATTATTTTCTATACCCACTGCAGTTACATAGTTAGTAAGGTTGAATAAAGACCCCAGTTCAACCTGTGTAGGTGTGTGTATGCATTTATCACTTCCCATATTCCTGTATGTATATTATAAGATGCCCATCTAAAAAAAATTATCAATACTTCCAGCTGACACCAATTATTGTGGAAGAACGTTCCACATTCTTACCATTCTACCAGTGAAGAACCCCCTACACAGTTTAAGATTAAGCCATTTCTTGTCCAACGTCATTGAGTGACCACATGTCCTCTTGAGCGACCTGAGAATGAACAGTTTCCTCCCTATGCTAGAATCACTATTTAGATATTATTCAAATACTATGATCATATCTCTTCTTAAAAGTAGTTCTAAAGGCTGTGTCTCTCCCGGGTCTCTGCCTCCTCATTGGCAGAGACACAGCAGCGGGAGCCATTGGGAACCTTTTACAAGGTGAGGGTTTACAATCACTTTAAGTAAAATGTTCCTAAAACACTCCCCCTTTTCCTCCATATTTTTTGTTTTTAGAATATCTTCCCATTTATTGTCATGAAGTATGGAATGCAGTTTAGTAAAGTTGGCTCTCTTGAGCTTTGATGCACTTGTCCTACCCTCACGTCTGTTTTTCAAGTGATTTACATAAGATACCTACACATTTTATATGAAGACAAAAAAAAAAAAAAAAAAACACTGACCTTAGTATCTTGGCCTAATAGTTCCTGTTCAGCTTCATGTATTTCTTCTGCTGGATCATAGCTGTATAGAGGAAGCAGATGATGTCTAAGCCGGTCCACTCTAAGATGGAGAAATACATGAGGATATTTGATTAAAAACACAACCTTGACTGCTGAAGATAACCACTAGTAAAAGCCAAAACAATATTATACGAGACTCCAACCTGAAGTACTCAAAATTAAACTAATTGTTAAATACAGTAAAAGGAAATAAGTATTTGTCCTCCTGCTGATTTTGAATGTTTGCCCACTCACAAAGAAATGATCAGTCTAAAAATCGAATGGTAGGTGTATTGTAACACAGAGACAGAATAGCAACAAAAAAATTCAAAAGAAATGCATGTCTAACAAATTATGCACTGATTAGCATGTGCATGAGGGAAATGAGTATTTGATCCCTTATCATTCAGCAAGATTTCTGGCTACCAGGTGTCTTTCATACAGGTAACAAGCTAAAATTAGAAGCAGTCTCTTAAAGGGAGTGCTGCTAATCTCATTTTGTTACCTGTATAAAAAAAGACACCTGTCCACAGGAGCAATCAAACAATCAGATTCTAAACTCTCCACCATGGCAAAGACAAAAGAGCTGTCCAAGGATGTCAGGGACAAGATTGTAGACCTACACAAGGCTGTACTAGGCTACCAAACTATCACCAAGCAGCTTGGTGAGAAGGTGACAACAGTTGGTGCAATCATTCTCAAATGGAAGAAACACAAAACAACTATCAGTCTCCCTAGGTCTGGTGCACCATGCAAGATCTCACCTCGTGGAGTGTCAATGATCATGAGAACAGTGAAGAGTCATCCCAGAACTACACGTGAGGATCTTGTCAATGATCTCCAGGCAGCAGGGACTACAGTCACCAAGAAAACAATTGGTAACACACTATGCCGACAAGGATTGAAATCCTGCAGTGCCCGCAAAGTCCCTCTGCTCAAGAAAGCACATGTCCAGGCCCGTCTGAAGTATGCCACTGAACATCTGAATGATGCAGAGGAGGACTGGTTGAAAGTGTTGTGATCAGATGAGACCAAAATCGAGCTCTTTGGCATCAACTCAACTCGCCGTGTTTGGAGGAGGAGGAATGCTGCCTATGACCCCAAGAACACCATCCCAACTGTCAAACATGGTGGTGGAAACATTCTGCTTTGGGGTGTTTTTCTGCCAAGGGGACAGGACAACTGCACGACATCAAAGGGACGATGGACGGGGCAATGTACAGTTAAATCTTGGGTGAGAACCTTCTTCCCTAAGCCAGGGCATTGAAAATGGGTCGTGGATGGGTGTTCCAGCAGGACAATAACCCAAAACACATGGCCAAGGCAACAAAGGAATGGCTCAAGAAGAAGCATATTAAGGTCCTGGAGTGGCCTAGCCAATCTCCAGACCTTAATCCGATTGAAAATCTGTCAGACTTGAAAATCAAACGTCAGCCACCAAACCTTAATGACTTGCAGAGGATCTGCCAAGGTGAGTGGGCCAAAACCCCCCCGAGATGTGTGCAAACCTGGTGGCCAACTACAGGAAACATCTGACCTCTGTGATTGCCAACAAGGGATTTGCCACAAAGTACTAAGTCATGTTTTGTGCTGCCGCCGATTGCTTCCACGCAGTGAAAGCCTCCGCTCCACCCACGTGAACTGCCCACTGTTTCACAGGCTCCGCTTGCCTAACTGCAGGCTTAGGACCGGCTCACTGCCGTCGGCTAGATGGGAGGGAGGAGATGGACACATCTGCTCCCCTCCCCTCCCCTTCTTGTCCTGACCCAGAAGTGATGTTATGTTACTTCCGGCTCCCCATTCAAAGATTTTGCGGCCATTGAAGCCGGGAAAGAAATGTAATGCAGTTCGATGTGCACTGCATTACATTCAGGGGAGGCATCCAGGGTGTTTTAGACCCTGGATTTCTCAATAAAGAGAACCTGTCATCAAAAATCATCACATTGGGGACTTTGTCCCCTATGTAATGAAAAATTTTTTTTTTTTTTTTTTTTTTTAATTGTAAAACATCAAAGTTACACCCAAGCACACAACCCCCCCCCCCCCCCCCCCCAAAACAGGATTCAGTGCCTCCCCACATATACACACGTACAAACGTAAAAGCACAAGCCAGGGTGACTACGCATGAAAACATTGATTGTGATACACATTACATATCGCTGCACACACCAATAATTCTAGCACCAGACCGCCTTCGTCACGCTAAACTGATGACCTATAAAAAGGGTTTAAAAGTGCCGCCTATAGAAAATACAGGGTACTGAAGTTCGTCGCCATTTCACAAAGACATGCAAATTTAAGTTTTGTTGAATATCTATTTACTCGGTGCAACCTCGTCTTTTATATTTTACAAAAAAATAGGGCGATTTATTGCTTTTTTGTGCCCCAAAATTAACTTAATAGTATATTTTACTGTAATTTTGAGGTAATATGCGACATAAAAAAATTAAACTACCACTGTTTTATTATCCAGGGTCTCTGCTTTCAGAAAATATATGTTAGGGGGTTTTGTGTAATCTTCAGACTCAAAATGATTTTTGAACGTGTGAAAAAAAAAAATGCAAAAAAGGCTCTGGGAGCAAAAGGGATATAGGATAAGCCGGACACTCCCCTTTACTGACAAGCACCCAGTCGGTACTTATTACACTGCAAGGTCTCTCTCCTAACTGCTAGTCCCCGGGTTTGCTGCTGGAGACAGGGGAGGAGGAGATTAACAGCGCAGTGTTAAAATTATTACATGGTTAAGTCGCCATAAAACCCCTTTTGATTTTAAAAGCTCCAGACTTACCTAAAAGCACCTCAGATTTAAATACGGTTTTGGTTAAAATTTATATTTTTTTTTTATCTGGACAAGTAGATTATCATGAGGGACAAGTAGATTGAAGACCTGAGTTAGTCCCTGGACAAGCAGTTTTTTCAAAAATATCCACACCCCTGAACAGACCTAGGGGGATGCTGAGGTGGGCTATGCCCCTCCCCAGGCTGCTATTGATACTTTGCTTGATGCTCTACACCAGCCTCTCTCAACCAAGGTGCCCAGGCACTCTGGGGTGCCTTGAGGTTTCTTCAGGGGTGTCTTGGCAAAATGTCCAAAAATTGCCCAAAACTTGTATACAAGCCAGCACGTGGAACAAGTCTGCCTTTTAGTTACACAAAGGCCACCGGTTTTCATTGTGCACCGTTACGACCTTCTAGCCACCAGCATCCTGACAACCAATGACATCATCAGTTGATAAGGAGGATATCAGCTGCCTGCACAGCATCCTAGTTTGAACCTCCCCTGCCCCTCTCCATCAGTGCTGAGGTCACATTAGGCCACATGAGGAAGAAGAGAAAAATTGGAATACTAGTCAGTGTGCAAAAGTGTATCTGCTTTGGTAGAAAAATCACCTCTAATGTTGGGTGTCCTACATGTGCGGATGTTGCTGCGTTATATAAAACTATTAGAATAGTTTTTCACACTTTAGAATGGGGTGCCTCAAGACTCTCCATAATTTTAAAGGGTGCCTCGGAACTCTCCATAATTTTAAAGGGTGTCTTGACTGAGAAAAGGTTGAGAAACACTGCTCCTCCCCACATTGCCACACAGGGATCCACAGGTCTTCCCTGATACAGCCTGCTCTGCACACTTCTGAGCCCAGCAGAAGACTGTCTACTGCAGCTGTACTATAGCTCACAGACAGGTTAGACTCCACTTCAATTATAGGATATTACTTCAGCTCATCAGCTGTTGGGTGGGGAAGGGGAGGTCTGCTAAGATTGTTGGCAGCAGTGTCACAGCCTATGGATGCCAATAACCTGTGGCATCTGTGACAGAGATAGGTGAAAGACAAAGAAATGGAGTTACAGGGCTGGGTTATTCCAGATGGACTTGTGACTATAGGTACAGAAATGCACACAAGGCAGTTTGAAAAACTGCAGAATTTTATGCTTCTCGTGAACTCTGTCCATAAACTTTGCTTGCCTCCCTACTAGCAATTAAAAACTACAATTGCAAATACAGCAGCCGGGATCTACTTTCCGGGGCTGCAGTGTGTTTTCACAGCAGGCTCCTTCTCCATCATTTTACATCTCGCTCAGTGTAGGAGAGGATTGTGAAACAAACTCATCCTACTTTTCCTGCAATAAACAGACCTGGGAACAGATGAATCAACGCAGACGCCTGCCTCCCTCTCATGGTTATTTTGCAGGTAAACATACTGTGGGCTACTATGCTGTGTTAACCTTGCCAGTGATTGTGACCATTGTGTATACAAAAAGGTTTCATAGGGGATGCTACAGAACCATAAAACTATCTACACCTTTTTGGTATAAAAAAAAAAAATAGTGGTATTAGAGCTTGACACTTTGCTACAATGTAAAGTAGTGAGTGTACAGCTTGTATAAACGGTGTAAATTTGCTGTCCCCTCAAGATAAGTCAACACACAGCCATTAATGTCTAAACCACTGGCAACAAAAGTGAGTACACCTCTAAGTGAAAATGTCCAAATTGGGCCCAATTAGCCACTAGTCATGTGACTCGTTAGTTACAAGATGGCAAGGGTGAATTGGGAGCAGGTGTGTTAAATTTGGTGTTATCGTTCTCACTCTCTCATACTGGTCACTGAAAGTTCAGCATGGCACCTCATGGCAAAGAACTCTGAGGATCGGAAAAAAAGAATTGTTGCTGTTGCTCTACATAAAGATGGACTAGGCTATGATAATTTTGACAAGACCCTGAAACTGAGCTGCAGCACGGTGGCCAAGACCATACAGCGGTTTAACAAGGCAGGTTCAACTCAGAACAGGCCTCACCATGGCCGAGTAAAGAAGTTGAGTGCACGTGCTCAGCATCATATCCATTGGTTGTCTTTGGGAAATAGACGTATGAGTGCTGCCAGCATTTCTGCAAAGGTTTAAGGGGTGTGGGTGGGGGGGGGGGGGGGGGGGGTCAGCCTGTCCGTGCTCAGACCATACGCTGCACACTGCATCAAATTGGTCTGCATGGCTGTCATCCCGAAAGGAAGCCTCTTCTAAAGATAATGCACAAGAAAGCCCAAAAACAATTTGCTGAAGACAAG